TTTATCTGATCTTGGCTCAGTCCAAACCATTTCTTATGACTCTTGATTTTATCTCGATCATTTATTTTTGATATTGACTCGATCATGGTCACTTCATTTTTGAACTGTGATTTTGCCCTACCACTTGATTTTGGTTTGGTTTAGGTTATTTCTTATGACTCATGGTTTTGTCATGGTTATTTATTTTTGACCTTAACTCGGTCCTGATCATTCCATTTTTTACCTATGATTTCACCCCAGCTACTTGATCTTGGCTCAGTCCAGATCATTTCCTATGACTCGTGGTTTTGTCTCGATCATTTATTTTTGACCCCGATTTGATCTTAGTCACTTCATTTTTTACTTGTGGTTTCATCCCGATCATCTGATCTTGGCTCAATTCAAATCATTCTTTATGATTCATGGTTTTGTCCCGGAAATTTATTTTCGACCTCAACTTGGTCCTTGTTGATTCATTTTGGCTCAAAGTTTCATTCCAGTCACCCGATCTTAGCTTAGTCTAAATCATCTTTTAGATTTATGGATCATTCCTGATTTGACTCAAACAAAATGGGTATCTAGGTTTTTGCAACATCCCTATCTAATAAAGATATGCAAAGAAGGGTAACTATAGACACTCATTTGTGTTTGACCTAATTAGGTCGATTTCTTTTGTTATTAGGATTTTTGTTATTATCATAATATATATTATATTATAATATCATGGTATATTATTATTAATATCATTATTATTATATTATTATTACTATTATATTATTATATTATTTTTTATTTTTTCTTTCTTTCTTTCTTTTTTTTTTCATTCTTTTCTTCTTTTCTTTTTGCTCCAATCTGTATGTGAACAAGAAAGATTGAATCAGGATCAGAATCTCACATGATCAAAATTTTTAATGCAAAATCAATTATTGAAATTTTGGACCAAAAATCATACTCGATAGAACTCAATCCCAAGATTCAAGCCTAGGATTGATTATGTTTGTTTCCTAAAACTGATTCTAAGGCTACCTATAAATTGAACTAACTCTACATAAGGTGGACACACAATGAGATTTTTAGAGAATTGGTGGTTTGGAGAATTTTTAGGTAATAAGGGTTTCTGAGGCTTTGATTTCAGGAATTTTAGGTTCATTGGAAATCTTTGGGTTAAATTAGGGCTTTTGGGATTAGATTTAGTTTTCTGGGGTTTTTCTAAAAAATTTAGGCAAAATTTGTGTATTCTAAAAACTTTTAGTGAAATTTGGTTTTTTTTTCTTTTTGAAAATTTTTGGGTTTTTTGCATTTTTGGGTTGAACATGAGTTTTTTTATTAATTTTTTAACAATCGATTGAATTTTCAGCCATTTTTTGTCAATTTTTTAAAAACCGATGGGTTTTTCAATTTTTGATTGAATTTTTCGATGACTACTTTAGAAATCAGTGGAATTCTCGATTCTCGATTGAAGTTTTTAGTGGGTTTCTTGAAGAATTTCTAAAGAGAAAAAAAAGAGTTTCTAGCCTAGAAAGAGAAGAGGTAGAGAACTTCTGAGGCTTGAAACGTAAAATGTGACTTATAGTAGCCCAGAACGACATCTTATTGGACAACTTAAGATCCACGTTAACCTGAGTTAGGATCTTGTGTTGACCTACATCAACCTGACCTAAATCGTAAGGTTTCCTTTTTTTTTTCAATTTATTTTTAATTTTTTAAAATTTTTTTATTTTTAGGATTCTATTTTATTTTTTTACATAATTTTACCATATTTTTGTATTTTGCATTGATTTAATATCTCTAGTTAAATAAATAAAATCCTTTTTTTCTAAAAGAATAAAATAAGTTGGATAAAAAAATCTTTTCAAGTTTTAAAAAAATATATTTACAAAAAAAAAAAATCCTTTCAATAAGAAGATAACAAAATAAATAATAATAAAAAATAAAAAATCTTTTCAAATAAAAATCCTTACAAAATAAATTCATGAATTCCATCAAAATATTGGAGAATTTTTATGAGTTTAATTCTTTTATTAGAATCTACCAAACTATTGGAAAGTTTCATAAATTGATTTTCAAAAAAAAAATAATAATAATAAATAATTTTTATCCTCTAAACTATTGGAAGATTATTTTTCAAAGTAAGTCCTATCAAACTATTGATAGGTTTTACTAATTTTTTTGAATAAAATAAATTAATAAATTCGATAACGGAGCCTTTTTGAAGTGAAACACTAATCTCTATAAATACTCTTAAAGTGAGAAAATTATCTTAAATTACTATCAAACTATTAGGACAATTTTAGGATTAATTTTCAATATTAAATATTTTGATAAAATATAAACATTTTCAAGACTTGGATAATCTAAAATCAAATTGGTACCATCCTTTGGATGAGCGTTGTGAGGGTACTATAACTTTTTCACATGTAACCTCACTCTTGAACCTAAACTATGGTTTTGTATATCAAAATCTATTATTTAAAAATATTTAAGTCAATATTAGAATTTCTCTTTAAATAGAATAAATTTAATCAGGTAGTCAATCATACCTACATAAAAAAAATTGATAACGACTCTTTTTTAATCCATGTATGGCTGTAGGTCCGCAGATCTATACGCTATAACATCATGTTCAAATAAATAATTTCTGTCTTTGGGTCACCCATGTGGCACTTAGTCTAAAACCTTGTTCTCTTACCTAAGAAGAAATTCAATAAAATCATAATAAAAGTGGATAAGGTGACACAAGGAAATAAATTGTCTATATTTATACATTACATAATAAATGTGGATAAAAGGGCTTTTTTAATATTGTGGTGTTGGAATTTTAAATTTAAAATCACAAAGCTATGTGTTTTGTTTATTTACTACTTCCAATATCCTTTCACCAAGTAAATAATAAAAAAATAATAATAATGTTATTTCTTTTCAATTTTTCTTCACTAAACATAAACAAAATGACTTGCCTAAATTATCTAGAGAAGAAAAAATTGTGATATTTAGATAAACACTATGTTAAAATACGATTTTGAAAAAAAAATCAAATATAGTATAAGATATTTTTAAAAAAAATAGATATATGATTGATTAAAATTTATAATATATTTTTCAATTTCGAAACGCTCTTATTCACATTACCATCTTATCTATTTAGACCAAATTTTATTAAAAAAAGATACAAATTAAATTTACATATTATCTTTGCTATGGTACATATTTATCTTGAATTATATCAAAAAAATATTAATACTCATATATTATTTTTTAATATTTGAGATTTTCAAATATTGATCCGACTATCAGCAATTGGCACATTTAGGTATTATTATACTAATTAGAAAGAAATATGTAATGAAGCTACATAATCCTTAGCATAATTAAAGAATTATTATATTTCTTATCCAAATTTGACTAAGAACAAAAAGTAAGAAGTATGAACATAAATAAAGTTTAATAAACTAAACAATAATATTAGATTAAAACAAGTTGTTGATTGAGTTTAAGTGAGGATTGGGGCGGCATCTCTCTTTCCAAAGATACAAAAGGTTTTTCCACCATCTTTTCTTATCAAATAACCCATGCACATGGTTGTACATGACCTTGGTACTGCCAGCTAGGTCATCCCATCCCTCTTTCAATTTCTTTTCACACTTAGTGATGATAATGGATCAGGTCGAGGTGTGTTTTTGCTCACTTCGAACTCAATTCAATTTTAAATATACAAAATTTGAACCCGATCCGATTCAATAAAAATTTTTATTTTTTATACCCGAATCCAATCCGACTTGACATTATATAAAATTGTATCCGACTCGATCCAACCTAAAATTAATAAAATATTATTTTTTAAATATAAAATATTTTTTTAATATAAATATAAAATTAAATATATATAAAAATATATAATAGAAAATTAAAAAAATAATTTTTATATATATCGGGTTAGGTAGGGTTGGGTTTGTCTAAAATCCAACCCCAACCCAACCCCGAATTTTTTTTTTATATCACCTAACCTAATCCGATATCTGATTTTCAAAAAAAAAAAAAATCAACCCTAAGAGGTCGGGTCACGTTGGAACTCGCAAGTTTCGGGTTAGATTGCCTTCTCTATTCACACTCACTATATGCCTCTAGCCGCTTTAGTGTTCTTTGGTCTAATCTTAACACTTCATTAGTTTTTTAATTAAAAAATTTTCAATAAAAAAAAATTATAAGTGCTAAAATTTTAATTTAAAATTATTGAATATCATATTTTAAAAATAATTGTATGAATTGATTAATTAAACCTCGAATTCGAGACCTTTTAGTTTAATTTGTGACTTTATTAGTGGTTAAATTACATTTTTTTCCTTTTTGTTTGAAACTTTACTACTACAACCTTTTGCTTTGATTATCCCCATTTTCTTATCTTAGTAAGTGCTAGACATGTTTAGGATAATTGAATTTGTTTTGTTCTTAAGTTATTTTCTTCAGACTAATTATTTTATGTTAGTCTAGAACCTTGAAATTTTAGGTGCAAGTAGACTTTGTTATAGAATGCTAGACAAATCTTTTCTTGGTCGTATTAAGGTGTCCAAACGTGGGGCACTTGTCTGGGACTTACGCCCAACGGCTTCACTTAGATTTTTAAGCGAAAGCCCAAATCTATCCAAAAATTCTTATACCATCATGTGGATCTATTAAAATATTGAACATATTAATAACAAATAAAATGTCACATTTTTAATTCCAATTATCAAAATTCAAATCCTAAATACGTACCAAAATAATATCTCTTAATTTGATCTTCCCTTTTTTTAATGTACCAGTGTAATGGAAAACAATTCGTATAGTTTTGGATTTTTTGCTACATGTTCTTTTAATAGTTAAAAGAAAACAATACTAAATTGTAAAAGTTAATATAAATCAATTAGAAAGTCAACTGACAAAACGGGAAACCGTTCAATGAGTCTAGCAATGAGTTAGCACCTAACAGAGAACGGAAAGGTGTTGATTTCCTATTAGCTACAAACAATTTCGATTGGCCCCCGTTTTCCACCAGTATATACTTCTTGCAAAGGTTGCTTTCACCAACCGAACAAACAAATGACCTGGTATTATTAGCACAGGGCTAAAGGGATCACATGCAACTCCCTTTCCAACGAAACAAACTCATTCATATTCAAAAACAACAGCACATATATAAGCAACTGTGATAGTATTAACATGCCAGGCACAAATAAACTGAAACAAATCCACGTTTATTGGGGGGAAGTCAAGAAAGGACCAAGTCAGTAACTGTTAAAACGATATAGCAGTATGATAGGAGACATATAGGACAGAGACAGGAATTTACTTCCACTTCTTGTATCCCTTATGTTTACCAAACATGCCATGCTTCCCAAACTTCCCATGCTTAAATTTCCCATGTTTGAATTTTCCATGACCATGGCCATAGTAACCCCCATGCCCAAGATGATGAGCTCCATGTGCCATATGTTGAGCCCCATATAATGCAGCCGCAGCAGCAGCACCCCCTGCTATTAATCCTCCCACACCATGTCCATGTGAGCCTTGTCCTGTAAATTTTACTATTCAAGTCAAATGATGCTATAAGATTAAAATATAATAGTATTTATATGTAATTGAACATCACTCCAGATCCTTTTTGAGTTTTGAAGGTTAAAGAAAATGGATGCAGTTCATCAAAGAAGAAATTGATGCAACTTCTTTAGCTTTAAAGCAAAAGTGAAAACCTTTATTGAAAGAAGACAAAAAAGAATGACAATCAGCCATAAGTTTAAAATCCAATGTTATGTTTTTGAAACATGTGTGGCAATCAAAGACCATAAGGTCTTCTCTAGGGAGAATTAACAACTTCAATCTAATGTCAGCAATAAGAAACAGCCATAGGAAAAATAAAGGGTAATTGAGCATACCAGGATAACCAGCTGGTGGATGTCCACCATGAGTTGGATAAGCTGCCGGAGGATATCCTCCAGGAGGAGGATATCCAGCAGGCGGATATCCACCAGGAGGAGGATATCCCCCTGGTGGAGGATATCCCCCTGGAGGAGGATATCCAGCCGGTGGGTAGCCTTGTGAAGGATATCCATGAGGAGGATATCCTTGTGGAGGGTAGGATCCAGGCGGAGGATAATGTCCAGCAGCATAGCCAGCGAGACTAGAGAACAGCCCTTTGTCACCTGACTCGCCTTCATGCTTGTCCTTACCACCTCCCATTTTTCTTTAACTTGAAATTAGTGAGTTTGAGTAACTAATCTGTTAAAAGTTAGTAAAACAAAACACTGTCAGCTGAAACACACTTCAAGGCAAACTATTGAAAAGAAAACGCTGAAAAGGAAAACAGTAGCAAATGCTATGATATGAGTAGAGTAATCAAGGCTTGGCTGGTTTCATAAAGTTGATACAAGAAAAAGTGAGATTATGAAGAGAAAATAGGAGAAGATCAAGAAGTTTCAATGACATTCAAGTTCCATAATTTACAATGAATTCTGAAGTCCCATCTATCAAACAGAGACAAGCTTTCCACTTCCATTAATAATGAATTAATCATCAAATAGCCATACTCTCTCTGCTATTAATTAACACTACTAATTTGATCAGGATTCTATACAGTAAGATGGAGGCATCATAACAGATCCTGGAATCAGGTCAAGAACATGCTTCAAACTAACAATGAAATTGACATTACAACATTTTAGTGTACCATGAATACAGGAATGCTAACTTCAAAATCCATCATTTAAAGGCTTGGAAGATAGCAATAACACGTGATAAAATCAGAAAATTTTCTCTTGCTTTATCAATAATGACAAGAAATTTACAAAATAAAACAATTCTATTGAGAGTATATCCAGTGAGAGTTATAAACGAGCTATGATTTCATTTCATTGTCTTTACAATTTATTGCCATATATATGGGTGCTTTTTATTCTTGAAATATTCATGGGCATACACATCCATATATTCTTCTCCTCTAAATTTACTGTCTGCATAGTGAATGTGTTGGATCTAAAGGCAAATACATAAACGCATGTCCATATTCATACAACAAAACACACATACATAGTCCTTTGCCTTTGCCAACAAGGTGACATGCTACATAGACATGCATGTATAGCAAACACACATCTATATACCATACATAATCAATCAAACATATATACATACAAACAAATAAGGCCCAAACGATTAAACATCATATGTTTCATTTGAATTGAAATTAAAGTTATTCTATGATAAGAATATTAAAAAAAAAAAAAAAAAGAAACGAAACCCCATAGATAATACAAGATCAAAACTTTTACCAATAAAAACGAAAGATATCGAAATTATGGATTAAACCCAAAACTAAAAACACCCCATAAACAACAAACAAGGGGAAAAGATTCCATTAATTGGCAGATAGAGAGAAGAAGGAAATCAGGAATTTTGGATCAAAGCAAAGAAAATATTCTTGTAAACGAACGAAAAGAAATAGAGAGATGGGTTTCGTTTATTTTACCTGGGTTGGAGGATTTTTGGAACCGAAACTCCTTTCCTTTGGCTTTGCAAACAAAAATGAAAGAATTTATCGAAGTGATTTTTATGGACGAAGGTGTTTTGAGAGAGTTGTAGTTTTCGAGGCAGATATTTATAGGAAAAGAGGACCAAAATTTTTCTTTTCAAAGAATTATCACCTAAAAATAAAAGTTGTGGGTGATGTGTTTTTCGCTTTAATTTTTTAGTACGCGTTGCTTCAACGCGGTTGCGTTTTAGATGATTCTTCATCATACGTGCTACCTAATATATCTATATCTTTAGTTACATCGCTCTAATTTCTCTCTTAATTATTATGGAACATACACACTTTTTTTTAATAAAATATAAAATTAAAAATGTTTTTGTCTTTTAAATTAAATAAAAAATAACTATCCACTTTTAAAAAATAACCTAACTTTTGTCTATATATATCTTCAAAACCACAATTAAAATTTTTTTAACCAATACAGTGCACGTGTCAAATTTTAATTAACTTGTAAAAACTTTGTTCCAAGTAAGATTATTACTACAAACAGCGTAGATTAAAGTGGTAAAAATGAAATATTTTATTTTTAAAATTTAGATTTGATTTATGATGTCAACAGTTTTTTTAAGGATTGTTTTATAAGTTAATGTAAATTTTGATTAAAATTTATCATAAGTGTGATTCTAAAATATAAATCTTTATATTTTCTCAATTTATTTATTTATTTTTTTAAATTTCACAAAACAATATCATTTTTTTGTAACATTTAATTCTCTTTTTTATATTCTAAAATTGTTTTTCATATTTTTAATTTTTGTAATTAAAAATTATGATACATATATTTTATAAAAAATTAAGTATAAAATATATGAAATTTGTCGTTGTCGGCAAACAGGGGCGGTTTCATTGATGCACGTTGGTGCACTATACCATATGTTGCTACACAATTGGAATGTACGAAACATTTTCGTTTCTTTATTATCTGAAATAACTTTCGAAGAAGTTGTTTTATCCAGTCAATTTACGCAAAATAAGGTTGAAGCTTAGAATGAATTGTTAATCCAGAACAGGGTTTGAAAGCGTCAAAGCCGTCAATCCTTATAGCCGACTATGATAATGGTAGTATTTTTTGCTTCCTCATGCACCAAGAATGATTGTTAGCAATGGCTGTTCGCTAGTTGTAAATGAGGGGTTTTCAATGCATTCAAGAAAATGCTATGAAGTTTCATATTAACAAAATTGAAGAAGGCCTAAAACCCAACTGTATTCTCGAATCTGAACTCTGAAGTCAGTCTTCTTCACCGGTATGAAACTTCCTGCATGCATGAACGACAATTTTTCTTTTATAAAGGAAGTAGCAAGCTAAGATAAGAAAAGGAGTTGTTGGTGCTAAAATCTTATTTCTACATTTTATGTTGCATCTATTTTGTTATGTACAAGATGAGAGCCATCTGCCTCAATTTGGGATCTATAGTCCTGCCGCTTACCTTTCTTCTAATTTAGTACTATACTTTTCTGGTACAACCTCCTGTAAACTTTTGCACCTTCGAATTCTGCATGGATTTCTCTTTCAGTCCTGATACCCATTGGATTGTTCAATAACCATCCCTCATCATCACATAACACGCTTGGATCAACCATGTCAATGTGTTGAAGTGCACCACACTCCGAGTCAAACTGTTTTCTCATGTCAACAGCAACTTCAAGCACATCAGATTGTATAAAAACCTGCCCAAGGACAAAGAAAAACCTTTTCTAATCAACGATGAAGATTTACATATTTTGAAGTGGAAAAAACACTAAACAGAAGTTTCTTTTGTGCTTGTGGTATCCATATGCATGATCTATCACTTAAATGTCCTAATAAACTGCTCAATGCTGTTTTTTATTCGATTGACAGATGCTATACTCCAAGCAACTTAAGCACAAACGGAAGTACCAAAAAAGGAATTTAAGACTATAAGAGTTTGCTGTGAATGATTCAGTCATCTAAATGCATAAGGCATCATAAAACAAGATGATCTATCAAGGCATATTTCACATGATATTTACTTTAATATAAATTTACCATAGAAATAAATCATAACAGAAATTGGCAATATCAAAAAGTAACTGCAGAAGCTTGAGATCAGTTTAATAAGATCCCGCAACAGATAATACAAGAAAGTTACAAGAATGGTTTTAAAGCGTCTACAATAGTTTATGGTATTCACATGTCATGCAAAAAGCCAAATGATTATCATTCAATGTGAATGGAAGGGCATACCTTTCCTCCGGGCATTAAACTAGTTAAGATGGAATCTACTAAAGGCTCCTGTACAACCCTTCTTTTATGATGCCTTTTCTTGAAATGCGGATCTGGGCACTAAATAATGCAAGTATTGTTAACCTACTATTACAAGTACATGGAATGATCCAGTGGCGTAACCACACTCACCAATATTGAAACTAGCATTAATGGTCCAGGATAAGTAGATACTAACTGTTTGAACGAAACTGTGGCATTTGCAAATATAAAATGTCTGCAATAAAGTATACATGATCAAATCCCCAATAAAACTGTTCTTCATATAAAGTGAGTTTCAAAGCCTTACATGTTACTAAGAGCCAGCTCCTTTACCCAAAACTCAGCACGCTTGACCAGCTGCATGACAAGCAAAAGGTAAATGAAAATTTACTCAATCAGAAGAATGAAAGTAGACCAAGTAAATGAAAATTTACTCAATCAGAAGAATTCTTGAGTGAATAGTAGTAATCCAAGGAGTTCTATCTCATACTTTTGCTCGTATTTCCAGTCCCAAATAATTTTGGGAATCAGGATTTTGTTTCGCAAGCCACATGAGAAATCGACCACTTCCTGAGATTTTTATTTCATCATTGTTAGATTTATCAATACATATCCATACTTTCTCCAATAGTAGTACTAACCACAATGCAAGTGAAAACAAAAAAAAAATAACTAAAAGAAAGATGCCAACGATGATAATGCTAATAATCTAAGTTGTGAAGCCAAGTTTGAAAGACATGGTGATTGATATGAACAAGGTTTTGGGTCAGATGTCGTGAGAGCTAATCAAATAAACAATAAAGTAAATGAAAGTTGAGTTATCAAACTACTGACATGGTTATTTAGCTCAAAAAAGGACCAGTCAGAAGACAATAAATAGCTAAAGGAGCATGGCACCACATCTCTACAGTATTCTGCCCAACATTAACCTACTTGCTCAATATCATAATGGATCACATTATTGGATAATGAAAGACACTGACAAATTATACATTGCTAAAGCCTTTCCAATGTTGTCAATCAATATCTGAGTCCAAATATGAGAGGAGAAAATGCAAATGCCCATTTATTGCAAAAGGATCCAAGTATCTTGTTGATTGGTTTAGATTCTAAAGGATTTAAAAATCAGCAAGAGGCTAATGAATAATAGGGAACAGCCACCTCCTCTCCCAAACTCGACATGGCTCAAATGGTTCTCATCACTAATTGGATAATAAATTAGCAGCTTTCCATGATTGAAAAGGTAAATTTACAAATACTGTGTAGTAGCTAACATGTTTTCATTTTTGTATCAATCATCTCTCCATGATTTAAAAGAATTATCAATGGATAGCAGCAGTTAACAGATGTATTGAGTAGAGGGTTACCACTTCCAATATCCACCATAAGTGGCAATGTTGGATCCCTGAAGACTTCACTCCAATCAGGTACAGGCGCTGGCACCTGCCCAGAAAACAACTCAATTCAACCAGTCAAGCTCTCATTCCAAGCCAGACGCATGAAAAACAGAAGCCAGTTAGACAAAACCATTGCGTTTCCAATTTAACATAAGAAATAAATAACTGTTTCCTCACAAGCTACGGCGTTGAAAGAGCGTTTTTTTTTAAGAGCCACCAGAAATTACTCACAGAGAAAGATGAACTCAGAGGGTTGACATGTTGCCTGATTCTTACATGACCCAACTCCTGCAATAAAGTAGAGGGAAAAAAGTACCATTACTATAAAAAGAAGAAAAATTTTATAACCCATTATAAATTTATAATTAAAAGAGAAAATTTTAACAAACCATTGTCATAAAAAGATAAAATCTTGATGACCCATTATCATGAAAAGATAGAACTTGATAATGAAGAGAAATAAGAGGGTACCTGAGAAATCTTGTCAGTGAGGTTAAGGCCAGCATACTCGAGGGCCACCAGGTCAGGACTCCGTAGTTCCTTATCAGCAGTAATAGAAACAGAAGAAGAAGCAAAAGCTCTGGTAAAACAATAGTTGCTTTGAATAGAAGAAATGAATTTGTGGTGTAATATTAGTGAGGAAAGAGCTTCTTTTGCAGCCCTTGGCACTCCAAAACCGTGTAAGCATATGGAAGAAGCCATTTTTTTCCGTCTATTTTGACAGGTTCATTCCTTCATTTCTCCCTACAATCTCATGATCCATGTTTTGTTACTGTATCTAAAAAAATGCAAATGGTTATAAGACTAGCAAATCTGCCAAAAACAGGCCCAGCCCATGCATAAACCATCTAACTTTGAGCTACCCGAACAGTGTTCAAGGGTCAGGCCACCTTCCAACGTGTGTTGGGTCAAGTGGTTTTTTTTTTTTTTTTTAATGAAATCAGACCGTCCCAATTTTCATGGGCAATTTCACATGCAACCGCACACCTCCCCCAGAATTATAGGTAGACATTCTGCCAAGTGCAACACGTTCTTGGTGTTTCTCACAAAAGTAACTAACTGTCGAAAAGACTTAAGACAGTTAATAATAGAAGCCAGTCAAAAAGAAGAAGAATTTCATAACTTCTGGGAGGCATGGCTTTGGCTTTGGCTTTTCGTCCACTCAATTTCAAACCCCAGTGTTCCTCCACTTCTTCTTCCTCTTCTTCCACCAACTACCGCCCTGCCGTCATCCTTCCAGTTAAATCTCCCTACTTTCCTCCATGCATTTGTTTGCTATATGTATACGTGGAAATGTTTAAGCTATTTTGCATTTGACACTTTAGTTTTGGTTTTTTTCCAGGGGCTAGGGAATAATACAGGTGACTACAAGAAGTTGGAGTTGACCTTGCAAGAGTATGGAGTGCCCACTGTTGTTGCTAAGGTTTCAAGAATTGATTGGCTGAGGAATGCAGCTGGCTTGGCCGACCCCAACTATTGGAAAGGCACTCTGCAGCCTAGGCCAGTTCTTGACTGGTATCTTAAATCTTTCTCTGCCAAAGATCCTATTTAATTAAAACAATGTTGAATGTGGTATAGATATAAATGTATACAAGTTTTAACATAGAAAGCTGCCCCCCTTTGTTTATTGATTGATATTGTGAGAAAGCAGGTATTTGAAGAGGGTTGATGATGCAGTTCAAGATGCAAAGGAATTGGCACAGGGTATGATTATGTATCTTTGCCATTACCTTGCAATTTAGGTGTCATTTGAATTGTGTGTTAGTAATTTTTTATTATTTTGCTTTCCTTTATGCGGAACTTCTCTGAAGTATCTATTAAATTGTATAGAAAGGGGCATTACAGTATTACAGTTATTGGTTGTATAAACTTATTTGCTTCCATCACCAAGAATTCAAAATTCAGCCACAAGACTCTCATTGTGTTTAATGCAAAATGATACAAGAAAATTGAAGTAGGGCAGTAGTAAAGTTTCAAGGTATCAAGCAAATGCATATCTAGATTTAGCATTTTTGCTCATAATTAATAGTATTACAAATGATTCGTCATGTAAAAGCCTCTTAAAATTTACATATGAAAGTTTGCCAAACAATCTCAAAATAGCATATGCAACCCTTAGCTATTTCATTTCTGGAAAAGAAGAGGGAATTGAAAAACCCAATGGTATTGCTGTTTTCATGCATTTTGAACAAATTCTGAAGATTGATTTACTAGTAAATCATCTCTTCTAGTCAAGGAAACTTTTACCATAAAAATATATATCATTCATGCAGGTAACGCAATAATTATGGAGACTGGCCATTAGATATTACCATTTTTCTTTTTGTCCTATTCCTTGTGTATTTTTGCCTTTCCTGCAACCCTTTGTCTCTGTTCCTTGGGTTCCCCATAAAAGAAATTGTCATAAGTTATATATCTTCTAAACCAGTAAAGTATCTGATTGTAGGTGGGACATTATCATTGATCGGACACTCAGCAGGAGGATGGCTAGCACGTGTTTACATGGAAGAAATTGAATTTTCCCACATATCCTTGCTTCTGACTCTTGGTACTCCTCACTTGTAGGTTTTTTTATTTCAATTCTAAATATTAATTCTTGACTGAGTTTTTGATCCTTTTGTCTCAAATTATTTTCTGTTCCAATAATTTTAGTACCTTGTAGGGGTTAATGGATATTCTACTAACTGCAGCAATTCCGTTTGCGAGCATTGGATTCTTCTTTTTCTTTTATCATTCTACCTCTCAACTCAAGGCTTAGGTGGAGGGAAGAAGGGTGCTTGAAACTTTAAGCAAATTTTTATAAGCCTAATGGATGTTTTGGTTCTGTTGCAGGCCTCCTCCGAGAGGGTTGACAGGAGTCATTGATCAAACAAGGGGTTTGCTATATTATGTTGAACAATACTGCAAAAAAGCTGTCTATACTCCAGAGCTGAAATATGTATGTATTGCAGGGAGGTAAAAATCAAAGTCAAGATCCTTTTCTTCTTGATTCTATTTTCTGTTTCTGCACTAATCCTACTTCACTCCATTTAAGATGCCAAATTTTTTTCATGTTAACGGTACCATCTATGCATGACTTGACCCAGTTGATAAATGGCTATGATACTACATATTGCTGGAAGACCTATTCCCTTTCGTCCTTTGTCTGTTCCTTCTTATCTGAGAGAACACGCTGTTTTTAATATGTAAAATTCATATCTCTCACAATTGCAGTGAAAATTGCAATGTATTTTGAGAGGATGGAGCTGGTCAGACATTTGGATTATGCACACAAAAATAAACCATTTACAAGGCTTGTTGGTTTAAGATGAATAGTGAGGGATATTGTAGTCAACTCTGCAAACATATTTGTATTTGGTAGGATTTTAAAGGTTGAACCACATTTTTTGTAAAAATTATATAGAATCTAAGAATTATGGAAGAAAGCAAGAAACCTTTGTTACAAACCAAAAACTCAAACTCGCAAATATGAAATATATGGTTGTATGGATGTGGTTCACTCAAGAAACTTGTTGATGATTCACATAAAACCATACACAGTGCTCTTAATATAAAAAATTTGGATAAGACAGTGATAATGAAGCTGAAAACTGAAGTATGGATTATTATATTTGATGAGTAGTGACATATAACAGAACTATCGATGCAGAGTAAACCAAATAAGCTTTAGCAGAATTTACTTGTGCCTCTAATCTAAATGGTAAATGCAGGTACCTTCAGGGAGCTCGCATTTCTAGTGACTCAAATCTGGATGTCGATTCTGTGGTCTCCATTGATGATGACCAACCAATTTCAGATGTTGCTGTTGTAAAAAATAAGACCGATTCAACGTCCATTTCCACAACCTTTCGTGCTCGCTTTGTTGGTCAAGGGTACAAACAGGTAACACCAACCATCTTGGCTCCTTGTTCTTGGTTCTTTAAACAAAAATGTTGATATCGTAGGCTTCCATAAGAGTTCATTTTTCCATTCAAATTTCTATTGTTTTTTCTTCTAAAATATTTTTGCAGAAGTGATGTATATGTTTTGCAGCCTGTTAAGTGCTAGTTTCTCATGGTAAGTTTTAGCCTTGAATCAGGTTTGTGGACAGGCAGATGTATGGGGTGATGGAGTTGTGCCAGAAGTATCAGCTCATCTAGAGGGAGCACTTAACATTAGCTTGGATGGAGTCTACCACTCACCGGTTGGTTCAGATGATATATCGAGACCATGGTATGGTTCTCCCGCAGTTGTAGAGCAGTGGATACATCATCTCCTCAACTAATCAAGTCTGAGATACTAAAGTCAAAACTAAAAAAGAAAAAAAGACTCTTCATTTAACATCGATTTATCAATTATCAATGAACTCATTGCACCCAATATTATTCTTTGTATACTTGCCAATATTTGAAATTGGTGTTTTTTCTTTCATTTTGTTTCTTACCTTTTCCTTGGAAATCCTATCACTTGCAACCTTTTCTTTTATTCTCATGTTACAGGTTCTTTTGTAACAGATAAAAAAAGAAAACAAAAAGAATCGCCAGCTGTATATTTATACTAGCCTTGTTAAATGTCAGGTAGGGGCAAAGAGAGAAAGGCCTCAAGCTTTTACCCCGGGGCAGAAGGCCAGGAGAGATGCATCTATAAACAGTTCTTAGGCAATCCCATGGAGCTAAGCCTGCCAGATCTTGTTTCCCCCACTTTCAAAACAAAACCTTCAAATGCCAATATTTTTTCCCCAACTTATAGTCCCAATTAATATTGACATTTTCATAATCATCATAGACCATGGAAAATCATTGATGACTATAGGCTATAGGTGACAAGAGCTCCCAGATCCAACCACTAATGTTTGTATGGAAACTCAAATCATAGTAAAAATAACCCAACTTTAAGAAACCTTTCTTACTGAAAACTTAACTAACCTAACCGCTCACAATGCTACCGCTTGCCCCACCCATAAACGAGCCAGCTTATACAACGGTGAACTTTGAATGTTAAAGTCAACAATGGTTTCCACATGGTTGAATGATTAAACTACTGATTGATCACAGATCCAGTTGCCATACACAGTAAAATTAAAATGCGGCTTTTTCGGTCTCAAGTCCCTACTAAATTTTTACACAAGTCCAAGCTAGAAACATTCTCAGTTGCCAGACCACCCCTACGAGTTCAGCTCTCAAAACGACACGCAAAACATGAACATACATTGAAAAGAGTTCAGATCAGAATGACAAGAAGAGCTAGCTCGACATTGGTTAGGTAGCACAAGTCCAAATAAAACAATACAGGTCAGGTAGTCTTCACAAAGTGGTGGGATAACATTTTTCCAATCTCCAGGAAACCAATCTTTTCTTTTCCAGCGAAAATGGTCTTAAGCTTTGCATCACAAAAGATCTCCCTCTTGTTGTTGGGATTCTGCAGGCAAAAGTATCCGTATATGTTAGTGTATGTTATCAGACAGAAATTTTCCTCATAACACAATGTCTGAGTCACTCAATATGATATCTGAACAAAATATATTAAACATAAATTAGTAAAATCAGCAACTTTAACATCATGACAAGCAGCATATATGGAAATAATGACAATAACTGCTAACATGATCCAGCAAACAAAGAAACACTAGCATCCATGTGAAATTATGATCAAGGGTATTGTTTCCTGCCTATAAGAAAAACAAATATGGCCAGAATAAATTCGTGTTACCCAACTTCATAAACATAATATGAAACACATGCATGAGGTTAGAAGGATCAGCTGGCACTGCAGGGAGACTTATCTCAACTACTCTCCCATATTCATCTTTCCCCATTCATGATCTTTTTTCACCATTAATAGCTAATCAGTAATAAAATGCCAATCAAATGCCCTAAAAGGCCAAGTGTTTAGATTGTTTGTAGTGAATGCATATGCCATGGGTGAATATATGGAAGAAGTAGGATTCTCCAATGAAATCTCTTAAGCAAGCATTAAAGAGTAAAAAGGAAGCAGAGGGTGAAATAGTTGAATAGGAGGGACGCATATAACAAGAAAGAGAATGAAACACCAAATACAACAAGCAACTAGACAACTCAATCACCAAATACCTAAAGCACCTATTGCTCTCTGCCTCCTCGTCAAGGACAGTCTCATTAGTCTAGAAGACAAACAGAATTCCTCCTTTCAATTTGTTTACCCTCCTCTAGGATCTAACACTAAACTGAAGGAACAAGCCACCCTAGATTAAAGTCTGATTCTTCAATATCCTCATATAATTCTTTTTTATTTCCTTTCCCTAGTCCTTTTCAATACCCATCCAGCAAACTAAACTCTTGAAACTCTGTGGAAAAGCAAATGAAGACATCAATTGTCACAAGAAACAGGAAAGTCCCATTCCAGTTTTCCAGTCTCAAAATTTTCTATCTAAAATCCAAGCAAAATTTTAATGTGTGGAAAACCAGGAAATGCAAGAAGAAGGGCCATGGTGGGATAACCTGTGGTGAGCAGAGGTGACGGACTCCAAAGTTTTAGAAATCGCTTTTGGAACCGTCCCTTCTTTGCTTTCACCTTTACAACACTTTCTTACGTGAAGAAACTAATATTTACCTTCTGTCTCATCCCTTCTCTGAGTTATACCCAGTTTTCTCCTATAAATGTCACTTTAAATCCAGAACAAAAACACCCCCCCCCCCCAAAAAAAAAAAAAAGAAAAAACCAAAAGAAACAAATCAAACACATAAAACACCAAAGTTGAACAGCATTTCCCCAGACATTTACTCAAGCCAAAATTTATTTACCGGTTTTTTTTTTCATATTTTCATCATTCACAAGATAGATTAAAATAAAGAAACTTTAATAAAATAAAAATAAAAACCCCAAGGGAAGAGGGCCAAAAACACAAGTAAAATACAAAAAAAAAAAAAAAAACTATAGTTGAAGGCAAAAGAAAAATAAAGAAAAAGAGGACCTGGAGGTTGTTGGATTTGATATAGGTCCAGATCTGCTTAACAGCTTCAGTACGGGAAGCCTGTCCGGCTCCAAGGAACCGACCCAAAGCAGGAGAAACAGGAGTAACTTTAAAAATCCCAGAGGGTCGAGTCATGGTTCGAGGAGCAGCTGGTTTTGCAGTCTTGGGTTTTGAAGTGGTTGACTTTTTCGGAGTTTTCTGAGCCACTTTCGAAGCAGCGGATTTCGCAGCAGCGCCAGCAGCAGCAGAAGCAGAAGTATAAAACTTGGCTGCTGCTAACGAAGACCCTGCCGCCGCTGGGGAAGCTAACAGCGCCCTGAAACCTTTTAAAACCCTAGACATTTTGGTTGCTTAATAGAGTTTCGCCTTTGATGTTATGCTGTCGGGTGAACTGAGAAAGCAAGATTTCCGGAGCGGCCTTTTAAAATAGAGAGAGGGGCCTCGTGGGATTTCACCCTTTTCGGGTACCATGACTGTTCGCTTTTGCTAGTGTAACATCTAGTAGTACGAAGGTAATGTTGCACAACTTGCCACCTCAACATTTTATTAAAAAAAATTTCCCTCTCGTATCGCGCTTCCATTTTGAATTAAAAAAAAAATCCAAAAATACGAAAACTAACGCCTCTTTTAACATCTTCCAGAAGAAATGCCTGCATTTTGTTGCAGCTAAACAAAAATCAACTTATTTTAAAAGATTTATAAAATGAATATTCCACAATACTCTATTAAATATCACTATATACAATTTGAATAGGAATTAGCTTAAACAATATATATCATTTAATTATAGGCACGAGGATGGACTTTAAAATTAACTTGAAAAAAAAATCTTGAAAGCAATTATAAATTTTGCATCAAGAAAAACTTAAATAAAAAATAAAATCCAGTTATAAAATTATAACATAAAATAGTAAAATTAAAATTGATTTTTACCATGTTTTCTTACATATTAAAAGTTATAATCACATTTTTTTATCTTTATATTTTTTACAAAGTAAGATAAACTAAGAAAAATTCTAAGACAATTCAAATACTAAATAAACATTACATCTTATGCAAGCTCAACCTTAAAATTACTTGTTCAAATAACATATCGTTGAACTATACTCATGGGGAGTTGCATTTGCAAAATTGTGAAAAACATTTTTCATTACCTATTTGATGGCCTATAAACTGGTAGCTCTTACTATCCATGCTACCAACACCAGTTATTATAATTAGATCATGATCGCCTGCACAATCTCCATAAGATAAGGCAAACACCATTGAAATCGATAAGCTCAATGAATACTTTCACTACGTATCACAATCCAAAATGTTGGTAACAACGTCAAAATCATCTGCTCAACTTAAATTTAAGAATGAGTAACTATTCTTCTTTTGCCTATTAATAGTATATAAGTTTGAAAAAAAAAAAGGACGAGAGATGATGAGTTATTGGCATGTTACAATGTTGCAATTTTAAACGACACGACTCTAGTAGAAACTTTATGGGAAATCACTAATAATTAGATTTAACTTTTCTTCACCAAAGTAAATTAAGTTTAAAAATTTTAAACATTTATTCAAATTAAGTCATTTTAAATAATTCTAAGTCAAAGTCAGGTCTCCAATAACATTAAGAATTTATGCATTCATAGTATAACAAAATGTTGGATTTCAAAATAAATACTAAAAATTGCTAATAGCATGCAAGAATAGTAAAGTAACTTTAACAACACAAATTTGAAGCACATTGAAAGAAGATGCTCTCTAACAATTTTGTATTTTCAATAAAAATCAAAGATTTATAACATACATACTTGATTAGTGCATTTCAATCGCCCTTTATATACTCGACCAAAATCTCTTACACCTAGAAGGCAATCTACTTTAAAATTCTTTGTTGTTGTTGCCAATTCACGAAAAGTAATAAGTTCAAATGCAATTTTATAAACTAAGTTCATTATATGATTATGTATGTCGTGGACAATCTCTATAGTCTAACACAAGTAAGCTAATTTCTACTACATATAGAAAGTGAAGGTAATTCTAGATAAAAATTGCTAATTAGGATACCAAAAACAATAATCGAAATTAAAATTGTCAATACAGTTTAAAACTAAAGCAAATTGGATTCAAAATACAAATTTGAGCTCACTTTTTTCCTGCATAAAGCCATTAGATATACAAATATCATAATCCAATAAATAACATGTGATTTAAAACAAATAACAATATTACAATAAAAGAAAAATAAAAACTAACCTTAACTTAATTGATAGAACACCTTCAACAATACATGCAACAAAAAACATAAAAAAAATCTCAGCATTAATATAACAACTTAAACATAGGAAAATCAAAATGAGTAACCAATTTTAAAACCAATTAACAACACAAGGCAAAGTGTAATAAACAATTTTAGAACACATGCAAGAAAAAGAGGAAAAACAAAGAAACATCTAAATAAGAATGATGGCTTGCTTAATGTCTACAAAAGAAAATGGAAGAAGATGCTTGTTTGGGATCCCAAAGCATCTATATATATTCTTTAAGTTAATTTGTTTATATTTGTTCAATACAATAGTGAAAGAAAAGAAAATAACCAAAAGTAAAAAGAAAATAATAGTTTATAGCAAACCCTTTAAGGAAAATGTTGTCAAGCATCAACCTTAATATTTGTATTGGAATATCTTTTCAACACATCAAAGGTATGTATGCTTTTTTTACAACATTTAAACGAAAAAGCAAAAAACAATAAAATTAAGATTGAAAATTCTAACTAATAGGAAATTATCATTATGGTTGCATTAAAGGTATCAATACGATAATGTTTGAGTTGCTTGTTAATGACATGATAATAATATTTTAGTTTTCAGTTAATAGTATCAATTCATATAATATATATTGATATTTTTTTGACAATTCAATTACCTTTTTGAAATTATAGTCGAAGTTTGAATTTTACAAGTCTGATTGATGAGTTTGTTGATGAAGAAATAATTTAGAAAATTAAGTCTTGGGTAATAACAAACATGGGTGCTAAGTGGAGGCAATGGACGAACGAATTGAAATCTAAATTTTATAATGAATACAAGACACGAGAGGAAATAGCTGTAAAAGTTGATTTTCAAGTAGACAATGATCAATTCTTGTTTTTTACTGCACATTAGTTGACTAATAAAACGAAGATAAATGCTTGTAAAATATACTATTTATTTTCTTTTAACACTATGATATAATATGAGCTATTATAATATATATTTTCTTTTTCATTAAAGGAATAAAGTGAGACAAACAAAACAAATTGCTCAAAACTAGATGAGCCTCAATGCGTAAGAATGAAGTCATTTTCGAGGATCATTCAAACCTTAGTACATATATCAATTTTCTTTGTGACACTCAGTTAAACGAATATGAAGTTTACTTTTTATATATGTGATTTTATCATTACAATAATTAATATTATACCTTTATAGAAACAATAAGCTAATGGAATTCCACCACCATCACGTGCTAAGATGTATATTCTTTTTTATACACATAAAGATGAAAGTGTTATGAATGACAAGGTAGCTGAATTTGTGGTATTTAATTTAGTTTATACTTGATTTTACTTATGTTTAGTTTATTTGTACTAAAATGTTTGTTTACAATTTTAACAACTCATGAAAAATAAATTTGAGTAAAACTAGGGCTCAAAATTTTGAAAATAGTTCATGAAAAGATTATGTTTATTCAAAAGTTAAAGGGTTACAGAGAAAAGGCCGTGTTCATTGTATGGGTACAATATCTACTTTATCTAAATAATATGGTCCTTCATCTTCTGAATTGGTCTAACATAAGGAAGATGTACAAGTGTTGAATGCTGAAATTAAAGACTTGAAAGAAACTTTAAGTACTATCTTATCATTACTTCAAAAATAATTTTTTAATAAGAATATGGATATCTCGAATACTATTGCCCACATAGTGAATAGAAAGGTATATATAACATCTATTTTAGTTTATATATATGTAAATTATCATCTTATTCATGAATCTTAAATTTTATTCAAATTTCTTTTGAATTATTTTTAGGTTCTTGATGCTAGTAATGCTCCAGAAATCACAAGTGAAAACTATTAGTCTTCAAATTCTAGTCACCAATCTAATAAAAAAAAATGGTAAACTCATTGGCACGTTGCAGTAATTCTATGCTAATAAATTGTTATATAAGTGGATGTGAACCAAAAACTGTGTTTGTTCCAATTATGATTGTTCCAGTTTCGATCATTGTGTTTATGGAGTGCTATAATTATTTTTTTAAACCTATGTTTCTATCATAGTTATGCATTATTATCTCTTCTTGTACATATTCCTCTCTTAGACTAAATAGATTTTTGAGCTTTGATATGTGAAAACGACTTGAACTTTGTCATAGCTATTCCAGATGGTAAACTTATTAGACATCTATTAATAAAATAATATTGATAGAAACCAATAACTTTTTTAGAGATGATTCCTTGTGTTTTTTGGGGCACCTACTTACTACGGACACTAAATCTTTTTACTTTTAATTTAATTATCTAATTGTGTTTTTTATTTTACATATACATATGCTTTTATGTATAAATCTATGTTGGCATCATTTGCTTTGAAAAATTATTTATTTACTTCAAGTACCATGTTTATAAACATTCAATGACATTTGTTTTTATCTAAACTTAGTACAATGACTTTAGTTCTTAACTTATTCTACGTTTATAGATTATAAAATAATTTGCTTGTAGTTATATTTGGAATATTATTAAATATCTTTTATTTCATTGTGTATTTTCACTTTATATGAAATAACATCATATTATGATTATAAATAAATTAATATTAATAATTCAAAAGAAAAGTTTCCACCAACACTTTAATATTTATATCGATGCCCTTTCTGTTCAAATATTTTAGGTTATATTAACATCACCAATCGTCAACTATTGGTAAAAGTAAAAACATATGAGGCTATATTGATGAGCATTAACTATTGGTCAATGATATATTGTCAAATAACCTGTCATATAGGTAGGAAAAATTAAAACATATAAGTTTACATTTATTGGAGTTAACCATCGGTAAAATGTATAATGGCAAAACATACAACAGATACTATACCAATGGATATACAATTACTGATGAACTCAAACCGTTGGTATATTTCTATTACCCATTTTGACACTTTAAAAACTATCAGTATAGGTCTATACCAACAAGAGATATATTAATAGTTAAAATTTAACAAAATATGCATTTTGACTGACGGTATAATGCTTATTATGCTATACTGACGAATTTTTAAGTTTTACTGATGATTTTTTAAGCGTCAGTATATGACAATTTTCATGTAGTCTTATAAATGAGCCTTAAGAAAATGTAAGCCACTTCCTTGTATCATATATGTAAAAACAGCTCAAATTGCTCTTGGAAAATGAAAATAAATA